AAAAAGGAAGGAGAAACGAGCGTCGCCAGGAATCAGCAGACAACGAACGCCTCCAGCCACTCGCGTGGCATTGCCCCTGCTTCCAGATCCATATGATGGCAATGGGGTCATTCGTTGGGGTTGGACTCCTAGGGAGCGTCTGGCAGATAACATTTCCCTTGTTAAAATAATAATTATCTCTATTTTTTAAATAATTGAAATACACACATGTGAAACTGATTTGGGATCTCTTGAAATGAATGATACCACTATTTTAATGTAATTGGAATCATTTATTTGAGATATTTAAATGCATGCTTTGAAATATTTGAAATAGTAGTTTAGAATATAAGGAATGACCCATTTGAAATATTTCAAATCACAAAAAAATGAAGTGCTTCTGCCCATCTGCCGATGATATTACATAAAAAGACCCTACCGTTTCGTGAATTAACATGCGGTCCTATTTTAAGTTTATAAGAAAATGTATCATTTTTTTACAGAAACCCCTTTGATCTTTAGTTAATCAACATGTGGTCATGTTTTAAGTGAATCTAGAAAACATGTTGCTTTTTGCATAAAACCCCATGATATTTTGTTGAGTAAGCCCGCATTCCTCTAAAAATAACATTATTTTTTTGGGCAGATTCAAATTCTTATTAAAAATATCAATAAATTTTGAACCCTAACTTCAAGTTTGACATGTTATATATGAAAGTTTATTAAAAAAATATGTGGAATCTGAATATGATATTATTTTACCATGTTAAATATTTTATAAATGCTATTTTGAATGCAACCTTAATCAATAGTGCATGATTCGTCTTTCTTTCGTATCGATGTAGATTCGGATTGGAAATCAACACCTCAGCAAAACCACATACGAAAGAAACAATCCATAACCTCGCATGCACGCCTTGACAAAAGTTTGCAGGGGAAAAAAGAAAACAAATTTCTCATCTTATGAGAAGACACACACATATACCTCATGATTGACCACATTCAAATGTGTTGTGCTTGTACCACTGTCAACGAAGGTGGGAAGGAGGATAAGCAGCAACACAGATGGGATGCACAACCTATTAGTGTCTTGAGTCACAGTTACTGGGTATAGGGCATGTGGTGATTTTTTTTCTCAT